GGACCTTCTTCTGAAGGTGGAGCTAATTATGGCCAGACTCTAGGCGAGATCATTAATCCTTAATTTCTGCCCCAGCCCAACCAGTGTGTCACTAGGGGGATGATGAGCCTGTTCTGTTTTCTGGATGTGAGACAAGAAAAAGAGCAACTCATGTTTTTTTCTCGTTTCCTCTGAAACTATTCTCATCCGAAGTCAACGTTCAACATGCTACAGCTCAAAAAAAAAAAAAAAACCAAAAATACGGGGACTGGAAACCAAGCTCTATAAGGAAGGAATGAAAAAAATGGACATGTTTAGCCTTGAGAAAAGAAGACTGAGAGGAAATCTGATAGAATTTTTCGAATACTTAAAGGCCGTCATACAGAGGAGGGACAGGATCTGTTCTAGATCATCCCTGAGTGCAGGACACCCAGCAATGGGCTCAAGTTACAGGAGGCCATGTCCAAGCCAGAGGTCTGTGAGTTACCAGTCACTATTCAGAACTGGTCGGTTCCGTGTCCAGTTCTGGTCCCTGCAGTTTTAAGAAGGACGCCAACAAAACTGGACCAAGTTCAGAGGAGGGCAGGAAGGATGATCAGGGGACTGGAAGCCAAGCCCTAGGTGGAAAAACTGAAAGATCTGGGCATGTTTAGCCTTGAGAAAAGGAGACTGGGAGAAGGTAGGGTAGCACTTTTAGAACAGGACGACAATGGGACCCACAACCTCAGCAAAAGGTGGTGAGCGCTCCAATGCAGGAGGCAATCAAGAGAAAATCGGGCAACCCTCTGTCAGATCTGCTTTGACTCGGATTCCTGCCTTGAGCAGCGGGTTGGACTTGATGGCCTTATGGGCCCCTTCCAACCGCTATGATTCTGTGAACATGTCTGTGCCAGCAGCTGAAATATTGTTCATTTAGTCATGGAAAGAATGCTTACCGTAGAACTTTTAGTTGAAAAATAAATTAAAAACGTTTTTCTTGATATAAATCTGTGCTTAATAGACTTATAATAGTTTCATAACATCACCCATTTTACTCCTGACATCCTATTCCTGCCTTAGCAGGAAACCTCCACCCCCCCCACACACACACACAGTGCCCGGCAAAAACAGCCAGCACATGTTGGTTGCAGGTGCTCCATCTTGTGCATTTAATTATATTGTAACCCTGTACTCTTCCCCCCCTCCCCCCCCGCGCTCTGGCACTGCTAGCCTGAAAGATGTGTTGAAACTGTTTTATGATGGCACCTGGGTGGACCGTCTTCAAAAAGGAGAAAACGGCCACGAAGGATCCAGAACCAAAATGCCTACAAGCATCCATAGGAAAGGGGTTCCAGAGGGT